TGGAGTGCAGTGGTACAATCTCAGCTCAAGCAGTTCTCCTGTCTCAGCCTCCTGAGCAGCTGGGACTACAGATGCATGCCACCTCACCGGGCTAATTTTTATATATTTGGTAGAGGTAGGGTTTCACTATGTTGGTCAGGCTCATCTCAAACTCCTGACCTCAAGTGATCTGCCCACCTTAGCCTCCCAAAGTGCTGGCATTACAGGCGTGAGCCACCGCACTCGGCGTCTGACAGCCTCTTAATGCAATGACTTTTTTTTTTTTTAAAGGTTATATAATGCTTATTTGTTTCTTTTTACGGCTTTTCACTTACAGTTTATTTTGTGTGATATAAGTGTAGCAATCCCTACTCTTTTTGTGTTTTTTATTTGCATGGAATATCTTTTTCCATCTCCACGCTTTAAGCCTGTGTATGTCCCTAAAGCTGATGTGAGTTTATTGTAGGGAGCATGTAATTGGGTCTCTGTTTTTTTCAAAATCCATTCAGCTACTCTATGTCTTGATTGGAGAATTAAATCCATTTCACATTCAAGGTAATTATTGATAGGTATGGACCTACTATTGCCATTTTGTTAATTGTTTTCGGCTGTGGGTCTCATGGGCAGTGTTCCACATGGCTGGGAGAGACACGCACTCACTCACTAAGCTCTCACTTTTCCTGTGGGAGAAATCGCTGGCCAAGGGAGGTCTCTCTTGGCACTGAGCTCTGCCACCTAGTGGAAGTAGTGATGCAGGAAAAGCAAAACTGTTCTTACCCACTTCAATTTATCTATTCTGGAAATTTTTATTTTTTATTTTATTTTATTTTTATCTTGTTGTGTCCCCCAGGCTGGAGTGCAGTGGCACGATCTTGACCCGCTGAAACCTCTGCCTCCTGGGTTCAAGCGATTCTCCTGCCTCAGTCTCCTGAGTAGCTGGGATTACAGGTGTGCGTCACCACACCCAGCTAATTTTTTTTGTATTTTTAGTAGAGACAGGGTTTCACCATGTTGGCCAGGCTGGCCTCAAACTCCTGGCCCCAAAAAACTCCAACAGTGTGCTGGAACTTCTCCACTGGACTCCTGGACTTCCACAAAGGTACTGTCATCTGGAGGTAGTTTTCAAAATGGATGCTTCTGCAGTAGGATGACAGTAAAGAGCTCCTATTTCACCATCTTGCTGATGTCACTTATTCCATCTCATTCTGAATTTGCCATTTAAAATACCTTTCATTCGCTTCTTCCCATCTCTCCTTTTCTGCTTTATATTGCATATTGTTTTCTTTATTCCTTTATTCCCTTTTTATGTCTACTGGTTTGGAAATCATACTCAATATCTTTGGTCTCCATACCTTTTTTTGCATCTCTTTTTTTCTGGGTTTGATTTTCATCTTTCTGAAGATATTCTTTACAAGTTCAGTTAGTAGAAGTCTGTTAGTGGTAAAAGCTGATTTTCCCTAAAAATGTATTTATTTTGCCCTCACTCTTAAGTGATAGCTTAACTAGGCATATAATTCTAAATTGACAGTTGTAACTATTTTATTTTAGCATTTGAAGATATTATTTCACTGACTTTTAGTTTCTTTTGTAGCTAGTAAGAAGTCCAGGCCAGGCGCAGTGGCTCACGTCTATAATCCCAGCACTTTGGGAGGCCGAGGCAGGCGGATCACGAGGTCAGGAGATAGGGACCATCCTGGCTAACATGGTGAAACCCCATCTCTACAAAAAATACAAAATATTAGCCGGGCGTGGTGGCGGATGCCTGTAGTCCCAGCTACAGGCAGGAGAATGGCGTGAACCTGGGAGGTGGAGCTTGCAGTGAGCTGAGATCAAACCACTGCACTACAGCCTGGGGGACAGAGTGAGACTCTGTCTCCAAACAAACAAACAAACAAACAAACAAACAAAAAAACCAAAAAACCTATCGGCTATCACTCCTTTGTAAGTATTTTATCTTTTTTTGTTTGTTTAAAATGTTTTATTTTTCTTTGATCCTCTTTAAATTTTATTACAATGTGCCTAAATTTGAATTTATTTTGTGTTTTCTTTAGGGTATATTCCTTAGAGTGAATTGCTGTTTCATAGAAAAATTTCTTTTTCACCCTCCCTAGACAATTTCACATTGTTTCCCAGTGTGGTTATATCAGTTCACAAGCCAATGACTTCTTCCGTCTTTATATTGCATTATGTCATATGAGTTTTTGTATGCTTATTTTGTAATTCCTTTGTTAGCAAACAGAGGAAAACTGGTTCTCAGTGCCCCAAAGGAAAAGTTGAATTTGCATGTTAGTCATCTTAGATATAGAGAGGGAGGCAACCCATCCCACATAAAACAATGACTATATCATTTTTAAGGCATTTAACATTAAGCATACCTCTTTTTGTCTGATCTTTCTCAACTCCTTGAAAATAAATTGGGTTAAACTTTGTTGAAAAACCCTCTGACTGATATGTATCTCCTTAGGTTCTGAACTTTTCACTTTTTATCTTACTAAATGAACCTTTTCATTAATTTGGAACTTGGCAAAGAAATAAGAATGTTTCAGTATCTTTGGCTAAAAGTTCCCTGATGCTATTTTTAGAAATTCTGGTTGGTACTTTTCAAAATTGCTTATTCCATACATACATAAATTCTTTATGGATCTTATTCTTTCTTTTAATAGTACTAATTTTATTTTGTTTTCAAAATGAAAATACCATTTTTTTTCTGAATCTAAAATTACCTTTATTTCTGTTTCTAAATATGATAATACATAGAATTGTTTAAGGTTTCTGATTAATCTCTGTGCTTAAGGAGACTGCCTGCATTCTTTCTGGTATTTAGGGAGAACTATTTCTAAGTCATTTCAGACAATTACATAATTGGGTGTCTGTCTTTTGTTGTTGTTGTTGCCTTATAATATTTTGGAAATAGGAGAGTCTACAATTACTTTTATGTGCTATCTGTTTGTACTTTTTAGGAAGGTTAAAAAAAAAAAACCTGTTAGATACAACACCTTAAAAGCACATTTTGTTTCTATAAAAAGATAATTAGTGGTATATTAGTATCATGTGCCTTATTAAACCTTCATGTTCTTGAAAATTGTAATTACGATATCTGTCAATCTTACTGTCTAATCTGCTTTAGAAAAATTAATACATTTTTCCAATATATTTTTTTCCAATTTACCTTTTTCAGCACAGGTTGGGAGAGTAAATGTTTTTGCAGAGTGTAGCCTAAACGTAGTACAAATCACACATTACCTTGTTCATAACTGAGAGAACTATACCTATTGTGATCTGAAGAGCAGATTGAAACCAGAAGTAAAATATTCTGTACTCCAGGTGCCTTTAAGGAATAAGCAAAGCTCTTTGGCTGAGCATGGTGACTCATGCCTGTAATCCTAGCACTTTGAGAGACTGAGGCAAGAGGATCCTTTGAGACCAGGACTTTGAGACCTGTCTGGGCAACACAGCCAGGCTCTTTCACTACAGAAAATAAAATAATTAGCCGGGCCTGGTGGCACATGCCTGCAATCATAGCTACTCCAGAGGCTGAGGTGGGAGGATTACTTGAGCCCAGGAGTTCTAGGCTGCAGTGAGAAACGATCTCACCACTGCACTCCAGCATGGGCAACAGAGAGAGACCTTGTCTCTAAAATAAATAAAAATAAAACAACAATAACAAAACCCAAAGCTCCTCTCTGTGGACTTAAATATATATATATATATTTTTTTTTTTTTGGAGACGGAATCTTGCTCTGTTGCCTATGCTGGAGTGCAGTGATGGGATTTCAGCTCACTGCAACCTCTGCCTCCCGAGTTCAAGTGATGCTCCTGCCTCAGCCTCCCAAGTAGCTGGGATTACAGGTGTGCACCACCAAGCCCGGCTAATTGTGTATTTTTAGTAGAGATGAGGTTTCACCATGTTGGCCAGTCTGGTCTTGAACTCCTGACCTCAAGTGATCTGCCTGACTTGGCCTCCCAAAGTGCTGGGATTACAGGCGTGAGCCACTGCACCCGGCCTAAAAAAATTTTTTTGATGTTATGCAAGAAATCTGATGTAATATACCAATTCGAGGTAATTTAATGAAAAAATGCTTATAGAGATATTATAAATGTGTTTATATTAATTACACTAGTCTTCTTAGTAATATTCCCAATGCTGAGTTTTATTTATGGCTTTCTTAAAGGCAGAATTGTGATTTAAGTATTGAATGTCTTCACAACCAATGAAAAGTTAAGACTATATAGAATACTCATAGGATAGACAGAAGAGGAAAGTACCTTTGATGGCTTTTATTTAATTTTTTAAAATTTGATTTTAAATTTCTTGTATTTGAATTTTATTTGAGTAGGTAATATTTACAAGGTTCAAAATTCAAAAGGCACAAAAGGATACACAATAAGGAAAGTGTCTTTCCCCCGTTGCTGTGTGCCACCTACTCAGGGCTCTCCAAGCAATCAAAGTTACAAGTTACATCCAATGGTATTCTACTAATATTCTGTGTGACAGCCTCCTCGCCACCATTTTTAAAACATGATGTTGAAGGAGTTGAAGCCTGTAAAGGCCTTATTAAAGGTGCCTTATTATTTGAAGCAGAAGTAGTGGCTGATTCTATGTCTCCTGACATTTTAGTTCAGGACTTGGTAATCTTTGCACTAAGTCACACTGCTTTTGTAAGGTGGCGAGTTGGCAATGATTAATCAGTGTGGATAGTACAATCCGGTAATTTTCGACTGGTTTAAGATTGGGACAACCAGAAAAGGTTTATCAGAAGGGCGGCAGGGGACGAGATTTTTGGTTCATCAAAAGGAGGCAAGGGTTTTAAAAATCACGTGGTTTGACTTTTGCTAAGCCCCGGGGATGGCGCGTGTCAGGCCCAGAGTGCTGATGTCAGCGCGGATGCGAGCCAGGCCTCGGGGGACTGGCGTTCAGACCTTGGGCCGCTCGCATCTCTAACAATTTGAGCCCTACACTAAGGTGTGGTCACGGTCCCACCCACCCTGATCTCAGACTGGGCACGGTGCGGGAGGAGGGCGGATGAGGCCTCGCCCTCGCCTCTTTAGTAGGTCGGGTGAGTGTAGTGTGCAGGGAAGAGACGTGTCAGCGTCAGCGCCAGGGCCAGGCCCGCCCGGGGGCAGCCGGGCAGCCGGATCTTGGGCTACTGTGTCCCAACAGCCGGAGCGGATCAGACCGACAGGCCCTGCCCGCTCGGTCCCGCGCCGTCCAGACCCTACGGTCTCCGTTTCTAGGGGCACATGGTTAGCGGCAGACGCCCACAGCCAATCCACTCTGCCAGCCTGCCCCTTCCTCTGCCAAGAGCAGCTTCTTCAGCCGCGCTACAGTTCCGCAGACGCCTGCCCCACCCTGCCCTTCCCTTCCAGGGAAGACGGATCACGCGGCCAAGAACGAGACTCGCAAACTGGGCATTTCTCGAGCCGGGCTGGAGCAAGTAGCGAGACTCCTTGTGAGAGTGGGAAGGAGCCTTAACAGGCAACCATGTGGCCCAATGGGTTTTCTGTGCCTTTGGGTGCGGACCAATGAGGCATGTGGGGCGGGACTTCCGCTTCGCCTCGGTGTTGTCGTCCCTGCTCCTACTCCGGGCTGTGGGGGTCGGTGCGGATATTCAGTCATGAAGTCAGGGTAGGGACTTCTCCCGCAGCTACGCGGCCGGCCGGCGAGACTGTTTGTGTTGCGGGGGCTGGACTTCAAGGTAAGACCTTGTCCGGCTTCGCGGCAGCCGGGCAGCGGGTTATCGAGAGGCCCAGAGAACATACCCCGCTTGTTGGCCCTCGAGCCCGGAGTCGGCCCTGCTGCTGAGGTCTTTTGCTGCTCCTCTAGAACTGCGCGAGAAGTAAATTAGGCTTTTTGCAAAAGGAATAAAATAGCCTTGCCCTCGGGGGACCGAGTCTCCTCTGCACTCTGATTCTGCGAGTTTGTGTGTGTCCAAAGTTGAGTTACCGGTTTTGCTTCTCTCATTCCCTTCTTGAGGCTGCAAGAGTCTGCCTGGAAAACATGTTTGGAAGGCTTTTCTTGGTCAAGCACCTGCCGCAACGTCCTCGGGGAAATCGCTTGACTTTAGTTGAGGGGGCTGTTTTGTCTTCGAATAGAAGGAGGGCAATCACTTCCTCTCTTTTACCCCCACCCCCTTTTTCTTTCCCTGGAAGCTCAGATTGCAGATTTGGGACGTGACCCCTGCTAGGGCCAGATACTACGGTCAGTCAGCAGCTGTGCCTGTACGCTTGACTTGACTTGCACTTATTAAAGAACTTTGTCCCAGAGAGAAAGAGAGAGTGGGCAGACATAGAAGCCAAACAGTAGTATCCCGGAAGCACTCATGCAACTTTGGTGGCAGCCACTCAGTTTTCTCTGCCGGTGTCTGGTAAATTCCTCTATTTTGTCCTAATCTGACAATAGTAAATAGTAAATTTCCAAAACTGTCGTTTCATCATCAGTTTCAGCACCGTGGGCAGCTGCTCGGGTCCTCTCTTGTTGCCCCAAACCTGCCCGGCTATTACTGTTAGTCAGTGATGCAGCAGGAACAGTGAAAACTGATGCATTCCTTTCAACAATGATGTGTTGTTCTCCAAGGAGAACATCTGCAGTTTTTGTTACAATATAAATAAGTAAGGTAGCTGTGCCTCCAAAGAGTTCTTGTGGAGAAACAAATCAATTCAAGATTTAAGGTAGGACTTTCAAGAGTTTATTCTATTTAAGGACAATTTTTTAAATGGGTGGAGATTAGCTCCATATCGAAGTAACAAAACTGGACAGTGGTAGCAATGAAAAAGAACTTTAAACAGGAGGTAAGAAGTGTAGTGCAGGGCCCATAAGGATTCATTAATAGGTTTTAGAATCAATTTAGTACATTGACATAAGCATTAAAAAGAAAGAAAAAAATACCAGAGGACATTGTATGGAATAAAAGTAAATATTATGGCAAGTAGCTTTTGTTTCAGTTTTTAACAATATGCATGTGTCAAGAGGAAGTTGGAAATGTAGAGTGTATTATGGATTATTGCAAAAACAAATGTTTCAAAAATACTGGATTCCAAATTTGAGAGTCAAGCTGGGTTCAGTTCTGCCACTTACTAATTCTGTGACATTTTCCGTAAATAACAAATGAGTTATGAGGATTAAATGAAACAAAATTTGTCTATTACGTAAGTTTTTTTGTTGTTTTGTTGGAAACTATTGAAGAGAAGGACGGTTATTTTTCTCTATGTAGGGAATGAGAACTGTTTTATTAGGTTTTTTTTTTAAACCTCTGCCTTTGTTTGAAGCTAGGCAGCTTGTCATCTTGTCTCTATGTGTAATGCAAATCTTAGACAAAATCTTGGTTTGAGAGTTATAATACTGAAGGGTTTGGGATAAGTTCTCATCTCTCCTTGTATAAAGCTAATTTTCTCAATAATTTTGGAGGAGCATAAATTGTTGTTAGCATTCAGCTTTCTTCCCTTGATATTTTTCTGCATTCCAGAATATCGTAGATTATTCAGAACTTTTACAGGCACTAACTTTAGCTAAGTGAGGGTAGGACTGAGGGTATGACTAAAGGGATAGATTTATGTCTTTGAGTTAAGTTGGAGAAAGGCATTTTATGCCTTATAGTTCTTCCCATAGGAGATGTATGAAATGAAATAGTTTGGTCAACTATCATGGTATGTTTTGCTTACTTCGTGTAGATGTGACCTAAAAATGGTTGGCATTTAAATAACAATATTTTTAAATCTGGGAATTAATGATGTTTAGCAGAAGGCAAATGAGTTTCAGTCAAAATAGTGTTTTGCACTGTTTGTCATGTTTACCATATGGCATTGCGTATGATAGTTTCACATGACATAAAAAGGGGAAGAAAGTTGGTAAGCATTGTTACTTTTCCCAAAAGAGGAAACAAAATTACAAGCAAATTCCTTTTAATAAAGCATACTGGTGAGTCATTGTTCAAAAATGTATGTATTCTATAGATATTTATTGAGCATATATAAAAGTAAAATATTAAACTTTTATGAATCTTTTACATTACACAAAAGTTGATTTGGGGACAACACAGCATATGATTGGTGTTGTCAAAGTTTATATAACGTAGTATATCAATAACAACAAAACAGTAATGTCGCTAATATTGATTGGTTACTATGAGCCAAATATAATTCTAAGCCCTTTGTAATATCTCAGGTGGTTCTTACAGTCATTGATGTAGTAGATGGTAAATTGTTTCCTTTTTATTTTTATTTTTGGGGGACAGGGTCTTGCTCTGTTGCCCAGGCTGGAGCGATTATGGCTCACTGCACGCTTGACTTTGTGTGCTCAAGGGATCCTCCTATCTTAGCCCAACAAATAGCTGGGACTACAGTCATATACTGCCATGCCTGGCTAGTTAAAAAAAAATTGTTTTTTTGTAGAGACAAGGTCTTGTTATGTTGCTCAGTCTGGTCTGAAACTCCAGGGTTCAAGTGATCCACCTGCTTCAGCCTTCCAAAGTGCTGGGATTACAGGTGTGATACATCATGCCTGTCTTATCCCCATTTTATAAGTGGGAAGTGGGGGAATTAAGGCATCACAGATACATAACTTGTGAGTTCACACAAGTAGCTGGTGGAGTAGTGGAGTAGCTGGAATTTGAACACAGGTATTCTGACTACGGAACGTCTGTCTCTTTTATGTCTTATTTCATTAAAAATGTGGAATGCCATGGGGCTATTGTGGATTCTTACTTGCTGGTGAGTTTCGGTGAGCTCCTCCTCAGTTTCCTTAACTGCTTCCTTATTTGTTTTTGTGGAGATTCAGATAATTTGTGAAGCATCAGATGGAGTATATGTTTAGTAAATTATATGCCTTAGCTTTTTTTTTTTTTTTCCATTGACGATAACGTCATTTGAAAGATTGTTAGCAGTTGAAGGAGGGTGGGAAAAAAAAAACTTCCACATAAGGACACTGCCCAAGCAAAGGTATAGAGATAGGAAAAGCAGAGTATATTTGGTAAGGGTATGTTTAAGGACCAGACTGGTAAAGATAGATGGATACAGATTATGGAGACTCTTAAATGTCAGACTAAAGATTTTGTGTATGATTTTTAGTTAAGAAGAAACTCTCTTTATGGATAATAATTTGTGAACAGGTCCAATGGAAGAGTGGAAGCCTAGAAGTAGGAATACCATGGAGTTTAACTATAGTAGTTGAGGCAAAAAGTGATGATTGTAGTGAAGGTACAAATTTGAAAGATGTTGACATTATAATGACATTGACACTGGGAACTGACCAGAGTATAGGCCCAGGACAAATTTTTGGGAGGATAGTGATGTTATTAGCAGAAATAAGGATATTATCATGAAGAACAGGTTTTGGTGGAAGGAGATTTAGGAGGAGAGAGGATGATAGGGAGTTTACTTTTGGAGCTGAGGAGTTGTTCAGATATTTGGAAATATAGAATGAAAACTGGAAGCTCTGTGTATTCTATGAAAAGGGAAGAGACCAAATACTTACATTGTAAGGAAATGACCTAAAAGTAACCACTCCTCTGTGGGTCAGAGTTTCACAAGAGTAATGTGACTCCTTAAATTCCTCACAAGTACAGATTTCTCAATGAAGATGCACCCATTATTTTTCCCTTTAGTGTATTTTGATTTGTGTCCTGGGAGATCAGGAGGTAAGTCAGTGGGGAGGAAAAATTTTTAGACCTAGCAAGGCTCCCGTTTATTAAAAAAATAGCTAGTAAACTGGAGACTAGGGATTCTCACACTAAGAATTTTGAGAGTCTGATTTTTGTGTGGTGCCAGGCATTTATAAACATATGTTGAATGTTGAATTGTTGAACATTTGAACATCTCCAGATTTTTATTTTTTTATTTTTTTATTTTTTGAGAGAGAGTCTCGCTCTGTCGCCCAGGCTGGAGTGCAGTGGTGTAATCTGGGCTCACTGCAAGCTCCACCTCCCGGGTTCATGTCATTCTCCTGCCTCAGCCTCCCGAGTAGCTGGGACTACAGGCGCCCGCCACCATGCCTGGCTAATTTTTTGTATTTTTAGTAGAGACAGAGTTTCACCGTGTTAGCCAGGATGGTCTCAATCTCCTGACCTCGTGATCCACCCGTCTCGGCCTCCAAAAGTGCTGGGATTATAGGCGTGAGCCACCGTGCCAGGCCCAGATTTGTTATTTTTATTATCACTTCTTTGTTACCTTGAATTGGTTAATAGCAAAACCTTTAGAATCAGAGAGCCTGTGTGCTTGTTATGGGGGACAATGAAAGTCAGGGTGCAACTGATGAGATTGTATTTTACTTATAGCCAGGATTGTGGAAAAAGAGACTCAAAGGATAAGAGGCTTACCATTTTTTCCATTCTGTAAAACGATGTTGATGACAATACCAATTCTGATAGTTGTTTTGAAATACTGAGTTAATATATGAAAAGTGTCTGGTACATGACAGATAGTAATTGAGATGTTTTTGTTATCAGTATTATTATCTTCATAAGTGGGGGCGAACACAGAGATCCCAGAACCTATTATAAGAAAAAAATTAAAACAACTGGAGGCCCTTTGTACTTGAAAAAGGGCACAGGACTAAGTCATAGAAGGACTGTAGGTTTCCTTTCTTGGAAGATTTTCTAGGGTTTGGTACAATTGGGTAGAGCATGATGTTGAATTAAGTAGTAAAATATGTCCATCTCAACTATTTTCAGTTTCCTGTCAAGTTCTCAGTAACTGGCCAATGAAACAAACCAACAGAAAAATGTTGTTGAGCATGATAAGAAGGTTTACATATCTTGTCATACCATTTTTGGAAACATTACTTGGATCCTACTACTTAGGGGTTTTTCTGTAACATTTATTCACTCAAACATTTGTTGAGTACCTTCTATGTCAGACACTGTTCTAAAGAGAAAAATCCTTGCCCTCATGGAGCTTATCTGCTAATGGGAGAAATAAGGTGCATTTTCATAATAGACGGTAATTAGATTTTTCTCGTACCATGTATTTGTACCTGTTTAAGCAGATGGTAATAATGAATACTATACCAGATTGTAACTAATTTTGCAGAGCATTTGAAAGAAGGGACCATGTCTTTCTTATTCACGTTTGTCTCTCCCTTTTCCCCTTTCTCCCAGTGGAATGGCTTAGATGGATTTAATGCTCAACAAATGTAGATACTCATCATATGTTTATTACAGGGAGAAGGTGTTAAGGGAGAGGCTAGATAGATCTTAAAGATTAAAGGAGTCAGTTAAATGTGGCAGGTATTAAGGACCCATGTACCCCCTAGATTGAAGGTGAGAAGAAGAGAATCTGGCCGGGTATGGTGGCTCACGTCTGTAATCCTAGCACTTTGGGAGGCCGAGGTGGGCAGATCACTTGAGGCCAGAGTTTGAGACCAGCCTGGGCA